ATCAGACATAATTTCCTGATTAATTTCAGCTCCTCCAAGGTACACGTTCTGCTGCAAGAAGTTGGAGTAAAGATCGTAAAAGCTGCGTTTGACAGCCCATAGAACTTTCACGTGAGCCTTTTCTTTAGCTTCTTCTTCGTCCATTCCCTCGGAGATATATTTTTGATATTTTTCGTCCCTGAGGTCCTCGCTGTATGTCATGGCCTGTTCTAACCATTCTTGATAAACAAAGGTTCTCCTCAAGTTCGTTCATGTTAGGCGTCTCTGACTTTGACGATTCATCCCCCCCCCCCACATCACTTTCTGAATCACTTGTTTCAACATTTCATCGCTAGATTCTACAACTCTTTGCTTTTTAGAGGGTGGTTCGGAGAAATCATCTTCACTAGCTTCTTCACCAGCGTTGGAATCTTCAGTCTCGTATACATGCTCTTTCATATCAGGATGTACATTCTGTTCGTGCCTCTTCATGTCGAACTTGCGACTATAGGTCACTCATATCGCATAGTGAACAATTAAGCGTAACGGTTGGACATATCGAAAGTATTCGTGTCGTCTCGTTGATGTTTAACTCGCAATAACCGCGGCGTTGCGAATACAACGATGCGGTGTAACGATAACGTTGCGATGCGGTGATGCGGCGCGCCGTCGACGGATCATTCATCTTTATGATTAGTCATCAACTTTTCTATATAAAAAAATCTTTGTAATTGTAATTGGAAATATATTACAGCAGAGGTAGCGATGTCAGTAAAACATTCTGCCACAGGTATGACATTTACTGAAAATAAATTTAAATGTTTATTTAGGGAGACCCCGCCCCCCCCACCCCCCCCCCCCAACTCAGTGTTATTTAGGGTATGCATATATATATATATATATATATATATATATATATATATATATATATGCATGTTCCCTACTTTTCAAAACACCCCCTGTCCCTAAGTCCGGTGTGTAAAGTCAATCCCAGAAAAATCATGATAATCATCCAATATATTAATGGTGCCACCCCCCCCCCCCCCCCCCCTTCCAGAAATCAAAAGAAGGCGAAGTACTAATTAAACTGACTTGTTAAAATGTAAGCAGAAGATATATGTCACATGTTAAGAAGAAATCAAAATTAATTAAAGAAATCACATCGAATTGACCAGTGATAAAAATCCAATACATTTCATGATTATGAATGAGAGATGGCGCTATTCACATTCTACCCACGAGAGTCAACCGTATCTCAATGGAGTCAACTGACATCGATAGCTCGAAAAAAAAGTACAGCTTGGTGGGTTGCAAAATTAAATCTCCCGGGATGAAAAATTCTTATCTCTAAAATCGAGATCAGTGGAGAGTCTGGAGACAATTGAAGTAAGTATCAAAACCCCGGATCAAAACTATGGAATAAAAAGAATGATGATATCTGGAAACCATTATCATAATTTAGTGGAGCATTAGTAGGGATGTGATTTAAAGATATGTCTGTAATAGTTAAAGTTATTTAACGATCATTGTATAAATCTAACGTTCAGTCCATATAATATTATATTAGATAGCTTAGACAGATACCGAGATGTGATTGGTCCAGAGCTCGTCACGTGATATCAATTGCGAGGATCCAAATTGTTATATTTTCCTGGTTGGTTATATTTTACCGGCTGGTGAAATTTGTTTTTTCCCTTGAAATTATTTTTTCCACATTTTCTTTTTTTACCCCAAAAATGCTTTTGGGGTAATTTTTTTTTTCTCCAAAAAAAATGCTTTTTTGGGAAAGAATTTTTTTTTTTTCGATTTTTTTTTCTTTTTCTTTTTTCCCCAAAACTATTCGACAGATTATTTTTCCGTAATTTTGATTGTCCCCGGAAAAAAAAAAAATTCGGGCAAAAAAAATATGGACCCCCCCCCCCCCCCCCCCCCTCCCACAAAAAAAAAAAAAAACAAGGCTATCTAATATAACAGTTATTGACTGGCAGGGGTGTAATATAACACTCTTTGGACCTGGAGGGAGTTATATTTTCCTCGTGACTATAATATAACCACTTGGGAAATATAACTCCCTTCAGGTCCAAAGAATGTAATATTACACCCCCTGCCAGTCAATAACTGTATATTATCTTCTGTATATCATGAAATAAATGAAGAAACGTTTTTTCCTCAAGGATTGAGACGATTCAGTCAAAATAAAATCTGAACAGCCATGAAATAGCAATTCGAGGAAAATATAAGTCATCCAACAATGACATTTTCTGACTTGATACATGTAGTTTAAACAATTATTGTCACAGGATTTGATTTTCAATTGTTTTTTTTTTTTCGTTCCCACCCCCTCCCCCCTCCCCCGGAAAAAAAAAATCAGGTCCATGATTCAACAATGTTAGGCTTACTGGGTAGTATGCTTAGAGACAATAGTTCGTAAGCGCTTTGTAAATGCAGATTTGTTACTATCACTATTAGTGATTTTTTTTTATCACGTGTCATATTTACCCCAAAAAGCATTTGTAAAAAAATATAATTATTTTAGCAATAAATTACTTGATTTAAAGAACAGGGATTACTAAATTATACACAAAACTGGCGCGTATGCTATCAAAGTGCCAAGCCCACTTTATGGAAGTATGGCTTCTTCGTTGGGAGATGTGCCTGATGCCTAATGGGACCATTTTATTAATAAAAGCTCCCCTCCCCCTCCCCCCCCCCCCCACCCCTCCGCCACACTTCCATGAAAAAATATGGAGTGTATTTCTTATCGTGATAGGTCTATAATTATCTGATGCATATTTGAGTCATAAAAACTCATATTCATGTTGCTTCTATATGCAGGGCCGTAGCCAGAGTTTGATGTTTGGGGGGGGGGGGGGGGCACATATATGTATTTGATCGACGTCCTGGGGAGGGGTCAAAAAAGTTCAACCGATCTTGGATTTGTTTGGGGGGACACGTGCCCCCCGTGACCCCCCCCCCCCCTCTCCGGTGGCTACGGGCCTGTCTATAGCCCTCCCCCCCCCCCCGAAAACTGATATTATATCAAATACGTTCGTATGGCCTCATGTCCTTGATATCTAATGATTGCCAATTCATTGGTCAACGAAATCCCTTATTTTTCTACCCATCACAACAATGTCGTATTTCCAGAGGCGGTGGAGCGACTTCCAAAGTGGAGGGCACCATAAAAAGAGGCACTCTCTGGAGAAAAAGGCCACCTTCAAAGGGAAATCCTTTAAGCGAAAATATACAATTTTTTAGACATTGGTATACAGTATACCCCTACATTGTCATTACATTATCAGGGATCATTTCAATATTTTTTCCCTGTTTTACATCATATAAGATATTGCTTAAGCATCATACTTTGCAGTTCGGTATGATGGTCTGAAAATACATTTGCGAGCGAGCAAAGCGAGCGAGGAAAAATATTAAGATTTGTGAGGTCGCAGTAAGAAAAATTGCATCTTATAAAGAGGAAATACCAAATCCTGATGGGGTTGTAAGCACGTTCTCATAACGGAAGACTTAAAAGACCTTTGATGAGTTACATAATTATAACATCTAGGCTATAACTACGAGCGAGCGTAGCGAGCGAGCTTTGGGGGGGGGATTGCTCTTAGTCGCTTGAAATTAGGGGCACGTTTAATGATGAAAGGAAAAGGGTAGTTAAGACACTTATTAGAAAAGAAAAGGAGCACGTGTCAAAGTACAAAGGCTAATTATAAGAGGTGAAAATGGGCCACTTCTTACACCTATAAAAAGAGGCACGCACCAGGGATGAAAAAGGGATTTTATACGAATGGGAAATGGGCATTTGTCGACGGAAAAGAGGAACCCATCAGATTTTGATAGGGGGATTTATAAGAAGTAAAAAGGGGCATTTATGAAAAAGGGATAGGCCTAGGTTCCTTATTAGAAAGGAAAAAGGGGCATATATCATGTTTAAAAGAGTAATTATCAGAGGTGAAAAGGGGCACTAATGATAAAGGGAAATGTGCATTGGTTGAAAGAAAAGGGGCACCGATCAGATTTTAATAGGGTCATTTATCGGAGGTGAAAGTGGGCTTTTATGAGCAGGGAAATCGAAGTGGCTCTTATTAAAAAAAAAAAGAGGCACATGTTAAAAGGGGTAATTATGAGAAGTAAAACGAGTATATCTCAAAATTGAATGGGTCATTTACAAGAAATGAAATGGGGCACTTATGAGAATGAAAATGAACTATTTTCATAGATGAAAGGGTGCATTTATGAGAAGGGAAAGGGGCTCTTTTTTAAATGGGGGCATTTATCATAAGGAAAAGGGGCACTTATTAAAAAGGAAAGGGGGCACATGTGAAAATATAAGGTGCGCTTATCCGAGTTAAAAAGGGGTAGTTATTAAAAGGGGAAGGGGCGCTTTTTACAAAGGAAAGGGGCAAAAGGGGAACCTCTCAAATTTGAATAGGGCAATTATCAGAGGTGAAGGGGTGCTTATCAACAAGTGGAAGGGGGCGCTTCTTGTACCTGAAAAAGGGAACTTATAGTAGAGATTAAAAAAGGCACTTATGAGAATGGAAAATGGACACTTATTGCAGAGGAAAATGTGAACTTGTTAAAGGAAAAAGGGTTCATGTCAAAATGAAAGGGGCACTTATCAGAGGTGGAAAGGGGAAGGGGCACTTGTCAAAGTAAAAGGGGCACTTTTCCTATGTAAAAAGGGGCACTTCTTTCAAAGTTAAAGGGGCACTTTTCCTACATCAAAAAGGGGCACTTTTGGGATACTTAAAAAGCAGTGCCCCCCCCCCCTCCCCTGGGAGCACCGCCTCTGTGTATTCCCATCATTCATTGGCAACAATGCGATTACAAGTGAATTGAAGTGATCAACAATTCTTTTCTGGAACTTGAACAAAAAATCTGCTGAGTATCACAGAATGTAAACACAGGTACAATTTCGCTGCACCACCTTTATCTTGGCGGTTAACATCGTCTATCACTGCAATCTCCGGTTGCACCAGCGAATTATCAACCTCGGGCTATTTCGCGATGGATATGGAAGGAGGAGGATGCAGCGGAGGGGTTACCCCGAAAATTCTGCACCTCCAGCGGGCCCTGTCGGGTGGATTTGGCTTCTCCTTGATGGGAGGTAGGGGTACTGGATTCCCCCCGGTTATATGTGACATTTTAAGCGACTCTCCTGCTTCAGAATGCGAAGGGGTAAGTATGAATCACAATGCCCGGACATGATTTCATGTGCTGTATAGCGTTGCCGTTGCCGTTGGTACATAGATGAATGAAACTGTAGCATCATCTCGATCGTATACCGACTACCGGGTTTACAATAGGGTACGTAGCCGTACCGTCGCGTACATGTAGCCCGTAAGTTACCGCGTGTGGGCGTACTATTGCATTAGGCCGTACAGCCTACAGCCACAGGGACATTGTATTGCAACAGCCGGGAAGCATTAACTAAAGGACACAATAAATCAAGTTTAGATTAGAATCTACTCTAGACTATAGATCTAGTCTAAACTTAAATGTTAACCTACGATCACGAAGACCTGAAAAATTGGCGCTTGTTCAGAAACCTATCCAAAATGTCTGGGGCTTGTTCAGAAACCTATCCAAAACTTGACCCATAACCCGGGCGTGGAGATACCCTACTAAAACATGCCCAAAATGAAGTAAATATTAATTAAATGTCCTAATAAAGATCATGAGTTAAAAGTCGTTATGTTTATTACCTGTTTCGTATCAATTTTCTTGTTATTTTTGGAGTATTTTTCAGATAAACGTTGATATTAGCTTAGACTAAGGCCTTAGATATTACTAGTATACACTTTTTCACAGGTTTCACAGCAAACCGCTGCACAAAACCTATGGTGGGTTGCAGGCGGGCGCGCGCACGCCTGTCTGAAGTTATCTACCTTAATGTCTCAGATGATACAGTAGATAACTTCACACAGGCACGCGCCCGCCCGCAACCCACCATCGGTATGTACTTGTATTGTGTAGCGGTTTGCTGTGAAACCTGTCAAAAAGTGTATAATATCAACGTTTATCTGAAAAATACTCCAAAAATAACATGAATAACACTGCTAAATTGGATCTATTTCTGATTTAAAAAATAGCCCGACTGTCAATGAAAATGTACCGAGTGGCCATTTTGAGCGGCCATTTTGAAAGAAGAAAAAAAAAAGGGCCTCCTCCTTCCTATTTTTCAAAAAGGCAGGATTCTATTAAAACATGTTTTTTTTTAATTTGGCATTAAAGATGGTTTCTCCCTTTTGCAGACCTAAAAACCTGTTCAAGTTCCATGAATCCAGAGGTATATAAGGTCTCTTTATTAGGAACCTCCCACCAAATGAAAACAAACAGAAAAAGTAGCTTTTAACTAATAAATTTGGAATGTTTAATCCCAGATATTTATTTCCTAGACTCAGAAAATATTTGTACATGTACATAACTCAATATATTATAGTATGGAAAGAAATAATTTTTTAGGATTTTCAAGAAGTTTCAGAACCTATGACTGTACCATTTCACAAGCGATGTCTGTAGGATATATTTTGAGCACTCGCCACGTAACATGGAGGTCTTCAAAAGGGACTTCCTGCCTTTAAATCACAACATTTGACCATCTCTGAAATTCCAGAGGTGTATTTCAAAAAGCTTTCTTTGCCCATAAGGTGATTTAATATTCTATAATGAACACATATACACTTTAATCAAGTTTTATTTTGTAAAGTACCACCCCCTCCCCCCCCCCCCCCCCCCCCCCCCCCCATCCTTCACTACCAAAGTACAATCTGCTTGTATTTAACTGTTTAGTGGTTGTCATATAAACTTATCCTGGAAGGAAGTTGTGGCTCTCCTTCTACAAATTTTAGTTTTTAAGAGGAAGAAATGTATTTAAAATGTGTGGTCAAGGGCGCTATTACAATACAATCCATATTCAACCTTGATGGATGGCCTGTACCGAGTCCAAAGTACAAGAAAGACTTACACGTGTTCATTATTTGGGTACTGTAAACATGCATGTATGCCCATGTATTATCAATCCCTAATATTTGATTTGTCAGATTTCCTTGGTTTTAGCAGGATAATCATTGTCGTCCCAAGTACAGTACATGTATCTGATACATCGCCACAGGATGTTTCAAAGAATATGTCTCAAAGTTGCATTTTTTAGTGTGGTCCACAGGGGCTTTAAAAATATGTAAAAGAAACAGGTTTGAAAATCAGCAGCAGGTTGATATTCGTTCTCAACCAAAATTATTCAAAAAATAATAGTCTTAAAATATGTTTGAAAATTTAAGTAGTCACGGGTCAATTGAAAATTGACCATTACAGTTGTGTGTACTTTTAAATCAATTTGGTCTCAATTTGTTTATGTTGGAGGTCCAGACTGAAATTTGAGGGCCTACAGCGAGTAATTTCAAGTCGGGTTTGAAGGGTTTGTGTTAGTGTTTAAGAAAACACTCCAGTCCTAAACACCAAAATGCAAATCAGCTGGTGTTAAGGCTTTGACCTATATCGTCAACTTCCAGTAGCTAGTGTTATCAATTTTGCAAAATTGTTGTCTGCTGAACGGACCTTTGTGGCTGGTATTAATATTTTATGTACAACTGTCCTATTCACTAACACTAGCACTAACACTAACATCAGGCATGCTTGCAAGTTACATACAGTATCTAGAGTTTTATTTAAAAGGGTGACCCTGTTTGAAAGAAGAAAAAAAGATGATGACCTGTTTGCAGCTTTGCAATATGAAAGAGAGCAGTTATGCAGGGATTTATGTTGAACATATTATGTTCTTGAGAATATTATGTGATAAGCAATTAAAAATAATTATTGCACAATAACTTACATTAATGTTTCTCTCTCTCTGTCTCCCTCCCTCCCCCTTTATCTTTCTCTCTCTCTCTCTCTCTCTCTCTTTCTCTCTCTTTCTCTCTCTTTCTCTCTCTTTCTCTCTCTTTCTATCTTTCTATCCTCTCTGTCTCTCTTTTTTTTCCTCTCCCCTCTCTCTCCTCTCTCTCTCTCTCCCTTTCTCTTTTTTTCTTTCTCTCTCTCTCTCTATCGCATAGATGCAAGTAGGAGATATCATTCTGGAGATAAACAATGAAACAATGGAAAACAAATCAACAAAAGAAGGTTAGTAGTACACCTCCCCAAATGAAACTAAATAACAGTAATAAAGAATGCCCACTCACTTGAGTCTCCTTTACTGTATGTGAAGTTGTGAACATTTAAATGTATGAAACACCTGTACGTGTATGCATTCATTTTGTTACTTACATACATCAAGGACAATTATCCACCATATTTTCTGGTTTGGAACATTGATTTTTTATTCTGTCCTAAATACATGTATTGTAAACACATGTTTGAGCTGAACACCAATAACCTCAGTGCATATTGACTCTATTTTTGTCATTCATGTATATTTGACCCTTGAACTTTGCAAAGGGAAACAAGTTTAACATTTGTTTAAAATTTCCACATCATTGCATACTGTATGTACAAAGTCTTTGTTGGCAAGAATTGGCATCTTTTTTCGATCTAGACACTGTAAAAGTCGTTAGTCATATACATGTATGTATATTAAGGCTGTGCACAACCGTGAAATTAGGTACCCGAGTGCACTCCCAGGCTTACAAGCGGACTCCTGATATTTGGACTCCTTATTTTTTTATTTTTTTTGCGGCTGAATATTCGAGTACGAGAAATCGTACTCGAGTAGGTGTCAACAATGCGAGTACTCGAGTATTCGACTACTCGTCGCAGCCCTATCATGTATGTATTTTCAATGAGAAACATGATGCAGTGAGACAATATTAGTGCTGCTGATTCACTGTGTCAATGAATCCTGTCTGTAAAGGTTGCCATGACTGGGTCATCGGGATCATCATCAAAATATGGGAAACAGATAACAGATGGGTATTTGAAATTGATTTTTATAGAAATGTGATGTTTATATATAGTCCATGGGTTTAGAACATGGTTCGGAACATGGTTTGAATTAAAACTCTTTTGTGAATTCAGGTCCTTGTCCTTGTTTCATTAAAATGAGTCGTCCCTCATAGAACTTCATCTATTATTTATTTACCAAAGCCTAAAGCCGAGTAAAATACTTGTATCATCTGACATAAAGCATTGGATTGAATACCGGCCTAGAACACCCTTTCAGAGCTGCCAACTAGTACGGATTTCCCATAATTGGTACGGAAATTAACAACCATTACGGAATGTTGTCTCAAATTACGGATTTTGTATTATTTTTTATTTTTTAATTTATTCATTTATTTATTTATTTATTTATTTTTTATTTTTTGGGTTAATATTTTTTTATAATTTGTAATATGATTATCGTAGCGAGTGCTGTGCAGTATGGCAGCCATCCAACACTTGCTGAGAAAGATGGAAAAGTATCAAGTATTTAATAGAAGCCATTTTTCATGGAAAACTGTGTTGTGATGACCAGAAACTCAATATTTAACAACTTTGTGTGAGTAAAATCACCAAAAATTTCAGATTTTGTATAGATTCATAGCGCCGCATAGGAAATTACTAATTTATACCACAAATTACTGATTTTGAGCCTTGTGATTACTGATTTTCTGTTCTGGAGGTGCTGCCCTTTACCTTTTCTGAGGAGCTTTCTTTTCCTGATTCAAGCTCCTGGGAATTCAGCTGCATGCTGCTAACATGGCTTAGGAGCCTAGTGTAATTTTCAACAGGTTCGAGAGAAGTAACGCAGCATACAAATTGGATTTATTCCAGGCTGAGGTGTGAATCTAGCGATTCTACATGATCCCCTCAATGTGGGAATGGAGTTCATTGATGATGGCACATCAAAGGCGCGTTCAGATAATGTGCGGAAAACTGCTGGTAAAAAAAAAAAAAAAAAAAAAAATCACATTTTTTTTAATGTGTAAAATGAATGGCAACAGAGCTCAAAGAAGGACTTTTGCATATATACATTCACTGACCTCAGTGAAGATTCAGAAATATTATACTTTATGTCATCATAAAATAAAACGCCATGTTTTAGTCGTGTTATATCTGGAGGATTCTTAAAGTTTAACATTTCAAAATGGTTATAGAAGAGAATTGGAGGCCGGGTGACTTATTAATCATTTTGTTCATATGTAGCACTATTGGAAGGATAATTTGTGAGAAAAGTGAGTAGAGTGACCAATATTAGTTTTGACTTTTGAGAGAAAAAAGGAGTCAAACAATGTCTTCTCTGTTGGGGCACTACGGTACTCAAAATATATTATGGATGGCATATATTGTTCCTCTATAGACAATAATAGCCCTTCTGATTGAGTCTTTCATTTGAAAAAAAGTTGACATTCTAGTCACTTTGTGTGTTGAAACAAATAGGAAAGTTAGAACACTACGTCACAATGGCATTACTGATTCGCTGCCACTTTGCATTGCCCATATAAAGTGATTAAACTTTCAAAATTTCATGACTTTCCATTTTGAGCTCAGTTTTCATTTAAACTTTCACCACTCTGCTTCTCTGATTGTTTTGCTTTCTTTTAAAGCAGTTGTCTAATGACAATATAGACATAATTCAGGATGATTCACAAGTGAGCAAACCAGTTTGATCTTGGCAATGCCACTTGCTTGTACATGAAGGCTCTGTTTTTATAGACAATGGAGTAAGGCACGAAGGCTCAGTGATAGAGCAGTATAGCATCATAACTGGGAGGTCCCGGTTTCGAAACCAAGTTGAAGCGCTAGTGCCCTTTGGTAAGGCATCAACTCTCATTACCAAGTCCCCTTGTGAGGACTTACAGCCGTCAGTCCCCTGGCTGCTTACTTTAACAAGCATACACATGCTTTTTGAACAGACGTGTAAAATAAACAAACAAATAATCAAGCTGCAAGGTGGACGTATTGTCTCTTCATTCTTCAACCCAGCTTAAAGGTAATACAAAGTTTTGGGAAATTTTGAAAATTAGGTGGATAGTGATTCTTTACAATTTTGATATAAATTTGGATGCCCCTGTGGATGTATCATAAGCACTAGAAAATTTAGCCCCTAAAACACTTTTGCTTTCGAGAAAAATTTACTGGTGCTCCCGGTAAATTTTGATAAATTCCAAATAGCGCCTACGTCGAAAAATGGTACACCTGTACATGTAGCTGCGATCATGAAAATCTCAGGATATATAGATTTGTGATATATAACTTCCGAACGGGAATAGCTAATCGGTCGATTTTAGCCAAGAAATATTGGTTTATATCTTAATTAATATCTTGATTAATATCTTGACCTTGAGAGGGAGCTATACAACATGAAGAGTTTATTGTTTACAATTTCATAACTTTAGACTCGATTTCAACCGCGACAACGATCACTGAATATTGTAGGATCGCATATGATTCCAAATTTCCAATATGTTCATTTGAACCAAATTCTTGACCCAATACCAAAACTGTGTATTACCGGTACCTTTAATAGAGAATGTACATTGAAGTTGTAGAGCATATGGCACTCGATCAATATGAAATGATGACAGCCTAATGCTACATCACTTGATGACCCTGGTAGAAAGTGCAGGAGTGGAATAGGATGTAGTAGCCTCCATTCCAGGCTGAATGATATGTAATTGAATTGTTTTTTAAACTGTGTATGGATTCTGTAGACTGTTCCACCCCCTTACACTGTTAAATAGGCCCCCTTTTGTTGAAGGGTCTTTGATGTGACAGGGGATATCAAAGTTACACACTCCAGACTTATTTGAATAAATTTTAATCGAGAAGACACAAGATAGGTAAAATATCAACGATATAGGTGTGTATATATTCAGCCTGGAATGTAGGCTAGGGATGACGATTTGTACCGGTCTGAATGCTAATGGCATCTCGGATCTTCCTGCACTCCAGAACTCATTCATCTTCAGGAGTAATTATCCGGCCAGACTGTGCCCTCCTTTCTCAGAGAGATGCATGCTTGCCGGAAAAGTCCTTGTGTCCTCAATGCTCTAATTTCAGTTTCTCAGATAAAATATTCTTGTTGTACTCAGGTTTAGTCTGAATTAGAACATAGGGTATGTTGGAGAGCATACTATTGACTGAGAAGCTACTTGTCTCTACTATTTGTATTGTATTTTTCTTTTTCTCCTTACACTGTAGGTACTCACCTATTAACTGATCAAAGTAACTTTACAATTTCCATTACCTTGGCCTGGTTGTTATTTAAGTTGCATAATATCTGCACATAATGTACAATCTCCTATCCACATCAGGCATGCCTTCATCAGACAAATGCAAAATAACCCGGTATTTTCAGACTTCTGATTTTTTTTCCCTGTAGCTCGAAATTGCGTCTTCACCAGACATATACATTGTAAACACAAACTCATCACAAACTAGCGCAGACTAGCCTGCGATTTCGCAAATAGCGGGCTATTTTGGAAACAAGACCAACATTTCTCTGGATAGTTTCTTGACCAAATATCCCGCTAATTGCAACTGCGGGCTGTTGAAGACGCAAATGGGCTGGCTAATTTGAGATCATGCTAGTTAAAATAGCGGGTTATTTTGCAACTTCGGTTTGATGGAGACAGGCCTATTGAGTATCTAAGACATATATCGTCTGTTCGGAGCTATAGAAGGACGTTAATTAGTGTACCGTATTTGCCGGCGATAAGGCCGCAGCGCCGTATATGCCGCACCTCCGATTTTGACATTTAAATTTTTGTTTTTTAAATGTCAAAGTCGGGATTTGATCTCTTGCGTACAAATGTTGATTTGACTAAAATCACCGCCTTACACCGCTCGGCCATCATGCACTGATGCTAGCATATGTAGTTTTTTGTGATGTATACATTGCGCCTCTCTCTTGTGTATTGAAATGGATTCAAAATAGCGACTTCGCGTGCTTGATACTTCGCGGCAGCTCCATTAAACGAGCCCTTCTTTTACTTTTGCAATGCATTGGCACAAACTTAGATCAAGATCTATCGGCAGATGTTGTTTTTGGAAGTTTAATTTCGTCTTCATGTCAACAATGCAAGATAAAATTATCGGTAAGATGTGTGGAAATGTGTAGTTATTGTAGCATTCGTAGATCTAGTCCCATATGTGCAAATTCGTGCTGGTTTTGACTTACTTTTTTATTTTTTATTTTTTTT